AAAGTAAAGTAAAGTAAAGTAAAGTGAATTAAATAAAGTTGAGTTTGTTGCCCATTTTTTAGCCCAGTATCATGCACTAATAACGCTGCAGCATATGAAAGTATTTTTGGAACGATTTATTCATAAAAAAAAGTAGAAAATAAAGTACAGTAATTATGAAAAGGTCACATTTTTCATAGATGAACACTTTTGTATGCTGCAGCGTTATCAGAGCTTGATGCTGGCCTAGAAAATGAACAATAAGCCTAACTTAATACAAGTCACTTTATTTTACTTTACTTTACTTTTCGGGTAAAGTTGACTTACTTCACCGGATAAAGTAAAGTTCACTGCTTTACTTCACCAGGTAAAGTAAAGTTCACTACTTTACTTTACTTCACCTTTTCAAAGTTAAATAAAGATAAAGTGCCACCCCTACTCAAAACCACGGTTTTGTGAGGATATGGTACGACGCGTTTTAAAAAACCGCCTAAACGGTCTGACTCCCGCGGCTTTGTTGACACGCGGAAGAAAGATTTTTCTGGTGGCGCGGTCGGACGCATTTTTGAAAAACCGCACAAAAGGGTCAATTCTGGCGTCCCTCGAGCTACGCTACTTCCCGAGAGTATCATCCAATTCTAAGAGGACACGCCCAACTGTCGAGAATTAGTGATCAGCTGAAACCGATCACTGTGCCTTTCGAGGAGCTTTGCCAAAAATCTTGCGTCTATATCTCTAAGTTGAAGACTACCCACGTGACGAACGACAAAAATATATATATATATGATATGTAGCTCGTTCTGTAGCGCACGATATTCTTTTCGTCCTAACACATTCTTAAATTCTTTAGCGCAGCGATATTCTTCTCGTTCTTACACATTCTTAAATAGCTTCTAATGTGATATATGCAACGTCTGAAAATGTCAGTTGCTTGTAGATTATACAGCGTAAACTGGCTAGAGGCGTCGATTTGAACCGGATTATTATCCTTAATTTTAGATAGTAACGCTTATCCAATTAAGACATTGCATTTGTTCAATTCGCAATTAACTTGGAGTATCTTCTCCGTGACTACATTAGCTTCGCTGATTATTTTTTTACTCTCATAGGATTATTGTTGTTTTCATTGAATTGACGATATCTATAAATAGTTATAAAGTAGTGAAGGATACAGAAATAAAAAAAATGTAGTGAACCCAAACAAATGATCATTTTGTGAACATTATTTGTATTCATTTTCGAATCTTTGTATAGAATACAGCTTCACTTATTTTCAAAATAACTTTTTTGTTAATTTAAGATGTTTCTATTTGTTGAAAAAGTTTTTTTTTGAAAAATATCACCGCGTTTCGCGAAACCGCGACTTGCAATACCGCGTTGGCACACAGGATTAACGCGTTTCGTGAAACGCGACCGACCCCGACTTCCAATGCCGCGTTGGTGAACATCACAGACGCGTTTTCATGAAACTGCGACTAACCGTGCCTAACAACACCGTATTGGCGCACACGATTAACGTGTTTGGTGAAAACGCGACCGACCGCGACTTCCACCCACAGAGAAAATTTTTTCGAAAAACCGCGGTAATTACCGGTAAAAAAACCACGGTTTCAGCCGGTATTTTCGAATAGCGAAAATCAGGCCATTTATGCGTATCTCTAACACCGCTCAGGACCGCAGTGTTCCAGATACGCATAAATGGTCTGACTTTCGCGATTTTGAAAACCGTCGCATACCACGGTTTTGGAAACCGTTGTAAACCGCGTTTTAAAAACCGCGGTTTTTGAGGCGGTATGTTTGAAACGCATAAATGATGTGACTCCCGCGGTGTTGGGTGTTTTTTCTTGAAATGCATTAATGGTCTCACTACCGTTATATCCAAAAACCGCTTCAAACCGCGGTTTTTTCGATACAATAGACTCAACAGGAGCAGGTATGCCGACCATGACCTTGAAGGTTTCCGATGTGGCGCCCTTCGAGAGGCTGTGTAGTGAACCCTCCCGAGCGCCATTTCCACAAAGTGTCTTTCTAGAGTTGTTATATTATGTATGTGACATAAGTAAAATTTGCCAGAATTTGTGGGACACGACATCTCGAATGTCCTTGCACATTCCTTGGCACTTTGGTATGCACCACGGTTCCTGCCGTGCTACCCGCGGTTTTCTGAAACGCGGTTATTATCGAGTACACCGCGGTTTAAAAAACCGTTAATAACCGTTATATTCAGAACCGCGATTATGAGTGCGCATACCGCGGTTTGTCTTGAACGCGGCTTGAAAAAACGCTGATAACCGCGGTTTAAAATGAGATCAAAATATTACCGCGGTTTTTTATAATTTTTTTCTCCGCGAGCAATGCCGGGTTGGCGCACATCATAAACGCGTTTTCATGAAACCGCGACTAACCAAGGTTGATAATACCGCGGTGATATGTAGGTGAAGCGCGTTCTCTTTGAGACGCGGTGTACAAAACCGCGGTTAATCGCGTTTTTTCTAGGATACCGCAGTGTATCATTGAAGAACCGCGATAACAATAAAATCCCGCGCTTGACCGCGATTTTTTCGAATTTTTTTTCCGTGGGCATTACAATAAAGTAATATCATCGACGAAAAGGCAATTAATTTTTATAGAGCAGAAATTGGGGTAAATTTTATGTCAATACACCTTATTGGTTAGAAGTTGTATGCTTTAGTACATTTCTATACATCTAGCTACAGAAAAAGATTTTTTTTGTTTAGATTTTGATTGTCAACTTTGGATTTGAAAGTTAGTTTCACATTGTGAATTTTATTATCATATTAATACAAAATCAAGGTAAGGTTTTTATACCGAAATATTATGACGCGCCCAACAAGTAAAAGAGATTATAATAACAGACATAAATTAACTACTTCCCGTACGACTACGACAAATACTGACAGTGAACGAAAGGAAAAGAATTTTTCTCTTGGATCTTTAAGTTCTATAAAGATTTATCCTCGTGATAATCGTGGAAATAGTAGTCAAGCAGATCTAAATGACATAGCTGATGTAATTGAATTACCTGAAATTTCCAAAGTAAAAAGAAAGGAAGATAAATTCTATCAACATCTTCTACCAATAGAAGATGGACTTTACGATGGCATCGTTAATGATAAACTATTACGTGAAGGCTTAGGTACCTATAATACTAATGATGGAAAGGAATACTATTCAGGTGTTTGGAAAAATGATAAAACTCATGGATATGGGTATCGTTTTGAAAACTATGGTTCGAGTATTTATCACGGTTTTTTCGAAAATCAAATATTAAAGGAGGGCTTTGGAAAAGTAAAATTAGAGAATGATTATGTATATGAAGGAAAGATTGAAAATGGAAAATTTCATGGTCTTGGAAGTTTATCTGTAGAAATAGAAGGTCTTCCACCACTCAATAGACCAGGAATAGAAAATGGTACTCTTAGTTTAATAGCAATGTGGGGAAATGGAATAACACGAATAGTCTTTGCTAATGGTATTGAACAGTACTATGCACATCAATATCAAGTATTTCAACATAGTTTAGATTCAATTATTTCATCGAATATTGATAATTTAGATAAAAAAAGAGAAGATTTTCAAATATTAATTTCATTATTTGAGAAACGTCTTATAGGAAGTACTTTACTTAAACAAATTTCTGAACATCCTGGATTACCAAAAGAATTAAAATTAGCAGCTGATTTATTACAAAGATTAGATACATGTTATGATAATTTAAGAAAATATACCACATTACCCTCAAGAAAATCTTATAGTGATTCTTTAAAACTGTTTTGTGCAACGGGATTAAAAACTTATGCGAAAAGATTAGCATGGATTCCTCATGATAATAGATTTAATACGATTTTAGCAAAAGAAATTTTCGAAGATGATTTAAATAATTTTGCAAAGAAAACAAAAATTTCAGAATTAAAAGATGTACTTGGCATAAATCCATTAATAGTTAATCTTATTCAAAAGATGATTAGTTTCGCGGATGAAAGATTAAAGCAAGTTTGTTCTCATGAGCATTGCCGAGCATATTTTATGAAAATTCATACACAATTGATAAAAACTACATGGAAAGAATATTTCAGAAAATTTAGAGAAGGCACAGCAACTTATAAATCAGACTATGAAGTCGATAAGAAATGCAATTTCTTTACTGATTGTTATTCGAATTTATTAGAACTTCCTTTCATAGATCGACGTGAATTTAACATTGAAATAAAGCATTTGACAGATTTATGGAGAAGTTCGAATTTTCAGATACTCGTTGATAAAAAACCTATTTTAAATCAAACAGACGTAGATTTTAGTGAAAATATTTTTAGAATTCTTCTTGATGGAAGAGATGGTAAATTTAAATCAGTAGAATTGATTCCTTTAAATATAGAAAATAATCGATTAGAAGATCTAATAAATTTAATTGAAAGGGAAGCTAATCATCAGGATATTATCGTAATTGGAATTTTATATTATAAACATAATAGTTTAAGCGATCATTATCTACAGGTTTTTAATGACCTAGGAAGTAGTGAAATCCAACGCTTAAAAACAAATGAGTCTTGGATTTTTATAGTAAAGAAAAATGGAGAAAAAATTAATGAAAAAATATATTCAACAGTGCCATATACGTTGTTAATAAAAGAAGAAGCTCTATTTAGAGTAAAAGAAGAAATGAAAATAGAAGAAAACAATGTGAAAAAGGATATTGAATTGATCATTTATGAAGCTATGGAATTTTCAGTGAAGAATTTAACACCATGGGAAAATTTTTCAGCAAATCAATGGAAAAAATATTTGAATGAAGACATTCGTTCAGATATTTCCACGAAAGAATTAGGAGATAAATTATTAATTAAAATTCTAAAAAAAACAAAAGATAAAATAAAAGAATTCTTCAATATGAATTCAAATGAATTTCCTGATACATTAGAAAAATTAATCATTTATTTCCAGAGTAATATTTTAAGAGATAAGACTTCTAATTTTCAAATTAAAATGAAAGAATTTATCAAAGTCATTGATTATTTATTACAAATATCCGAAGGTAGAACGTCTCACATTAGTGACTTAATCGATATTCAATTACAATCAATAAAAGTATTTATCGAACATACACAAAATACAAAAGACGTTATTGATCATTTTCTTAATTTTAACGTTGCATTTAATTATGTAAGTGAAAAATTTTTAACTCATTTTGAATCTCATAGTTCATTTAATCAAACTACCTCAACGATTTTATCGTTAATAAAAGATATTTTTAAAAATATCATCATAGAAGAAGCGAATGAAAGTCCTCAATCTCCTAAAATAGATTTAGAATCTGATTTAGAAGATTCTTTGCAAGATGCAGCTTATAGCGGTGATATAGCTAGAGTAAAAGAGTTATTAGACTCAGGCGCTAATGTTGATGCAAGAGGCCGTATATCTGGTAAAACCGCTTTACATTTGGCAGTACTTCGTGATGAAAATGTTAGACTTAAACTTATTTCATATCTATTAGAAAAAGGGGCTAGTATATATATAGGAGATAACGATGAGAAAAGTCCGCTTGATTATGCAGTAGAACTTAATATCGATCTAAGTTCTTTATCAAGTTCAATTCAACACAGAAAAAAATACAAATTAAATGAACTAGAAAGCAAATTATCCGCTTTACAACAGATGAATAATTTTCTACATTGTTTAAGTGCTGTAGACTTAACTTGGTATGTCGAAAAAAGTAGAATTCAATTGATAGATAATAATTTATTCAGGAAAATTCAAAATAACAATTTTTATCAAGTATTAGATATCGAAAGTGCAAAAAGAATAGTCACCGACCCATGTCCGCATTATCTTTTAGATGCTATTCATGATTTAGTACAACTTATTAATGATAAAAGCAAATCTCCTGAAGAAAATCTAATTACGAGTATTAAATTCAAAGGCGCATTATTAATGGCGATAGGAAAATCATTGAAATATTTTAACGATCAATTAATATACAATAGTTTAGAACAATTTAAGAGAGATTGTGTTTTGCCATTTGAAGATTTAACGGTTAAAAATGAATCTTATGAAGTATTTTGTGAGAAACTTGAAAAAATTGATTTATACTTTTTATATAATAGAAAATTAAAAGAAATAACATTTGAAAAAGCTTTAAATCTATTTCAAGAGACGAATGAAAATCTATCTAATCCAAAAAGTTTAACGAAAGCATTTTCTGATTATGAAAAACAGTTTAAAGACTATTTTAATGATATAATTAAAACAACCTTTATTGAAAATGTAATTGCAGGCACAAAAAAAATTGCGAATTCATCGAAATTTAAGAGAGAAAAAATCCCAGAGATTATTGCAGGGTTATCTGTTATACTTTCTTTTAAAGTTTCGAACTTTATTGAAATAAATTCTCAAGGAAAATATGTTTTAAAACAAAAATATAATCAAAATTATCTATTGAAACCACATTGTATTCAAATTCTTGGAGTTTTCTTATTATTAGATTTTAATGGTAGTAATAATAACATTCCACCTAATCATCTTGCAGAAATTCTAACAGGACAAGGAAAATCTTGGGCATTAGCTCTTTTAGCTGGATATTTCAGTCTAATGGGTTATCAAGTTACAGTCGCTTGTTATAGTGACTATTTATCTAAGCGAGATCAAAGAGATTTTAAAACTAATTTCGATCCGTTTAAGTTAACAAATGAAGTTAAATATAGAACATTTGAAAAAATGTGTGATGATAAGATAACAGGTGAAAATAATAGACCAAGTTTGAGAGACATTATTTCAAATATTATGTCAGGAAAACGTCTTACTCCTCAATCGAATCAAATAAATCAAAATAAACCATCGATACTTTTAATCGATGAAGTTGACGTATTTTGTTCCGATGGATTTGGTATTTTATATTATCCACTAACTCATATCTGTGATAAATACATAGGTGAAATGCAAAAATCTATTTGGGAAAATATAAGAAATGGTTTTCGTGATAAAAGCCATTTAAAGAGCTTAGCTAATAGTCTTATAGAAAAATCGAGTAGTCAAAGTGAATTTTTATCACATTTAATTAAATTCAATATCATTGAGGGACATTTAGATAAAATGATAAGTACAGCTTTACGAGTTGATAATGATATTGAAAAAGAAAATAATCTTCGACATAAATATCAAATTATTGATGGAATTATACATAGCAAAAACCGCGATGGTCGATTTTCTAAAAAGATATTCTATGGCTATGAGAATAGTTTCTATTATTTAAATTTTATGTATGAAAAGCAGAGTAGTTTTAATCAAGTTGAATTAAAGGAAGAAAATTTTGGATATTTATTATTTGACTGTGGAAAGATTTCATATTCAGAATTACCTAATTCGTATAATGGAATATTTGGTGTTAGTGGAACATTAAAAGACTTATCAACTGGTGAAGATTCTTTATTAAAACATTATAAAATTAATCAAAAATCTTATTATCCATCATTTTTTGGTGATTCAAGATTAGAATTTGATATTCATCATGATTTTGCTATTGAAGTAACAAAAAAAGATTGGTTTAATACAATTGTTACGAAAAGTCGAGGTAAAGTTCAAAATGATCGAGCTGTTTTAATATTTTTTGATACTGAAGAATTATTAGATGAATTCGATGCATCTTATTCAGGAGATTTAGGAGTTATTCCTTATTGTATTACAAAAACTAAGATAATTATTGACAAAAAAATAAAACTATACAGTGATGATGATGTAGAGAAGTTAATTAAAGATGAATTTGCTGGACATCATAGACATGTTACTCTTTTAACAAAAGAGTTCGGAAGAGGTGTTGATTTTCAAGCAGAAGCAAAAGTCAATGATAAAGGTGGTATGCATGTTATTCAAACATTTTTTTCAATGGACGTTAAAGAAGAAACTCAAATAAAAGGAAGAACAGCAAGGAAAGATGAGCGTGGTAGTTATGAGTTAGTTTTGTGTTTAGAACACTTAAACTCTGCAACAAAAAATACAACCTATTCAGAATTAGATACACAGAGAAGAGAAATAGAAAATTCACTCGTTAAGGATAAAATGGAAACTATTAAAAAGAATAAAGAAGTACATGATAAAACACTGTCATTTTATCAAGATGCAATTAGTGAATGTAACGATACAAATCGAAGACAATTTATCGAAAGAATTCAAGAATTATAAGACTGATAATCTTCAAACTAATTTCAATTAATCATATCGTAGTTTTTTATTATATTTTTTCCTTTTTATATTGTAACTTTTCTCATTTTATTGAAATGAGTTGCTTTTAGTTTTTGTAATAATGAATGAATGTATATCAATCATGAACTAGAGTTTCATTTATGCGACGTCAATTACAATTCAAAACAAGACCATGTAGCATCGATGACCAACTATTGATATCACAAAAGTTATAAAAATCCTTACATTTAGTAAGATGGAATGATATTAAATGAATTCGTTATATGTCCTTAAATCCATATTCACCCATTTAAATCATAAATATATCAATGAAATTATTTCTATGGTCTAACTGCAGCACGAAATGTGGCGTATTCACATATATATTTACTTTGGTTCATGTTGAAATACATTCTTTCTTTCTGTCGTTTTTTTTCTCATTTTTTATTTGTTGTGAATGTTTTTTATTCTATGCAAAGACAAGAAATCGTTTTTAAACATCTGTGTATAGATATTATTTTTATTTAATGTACATTTTAATGCTTTAATATAACTTCATTTATCTTTATCATCGCCTTTAAAAGAAAAAAAAAGAACAAATGGTTATATAAAAAAGGTTAAAGCGAATACTGGATGCACACAAATTTTCCTTCCTTTCGTTTTTAAAGATGAAAACGATGATAAGTGACGCATCAAATGTTTCTATGCATGAATGCATAATCAAGCATGTTTTTCTTAGTATTTCATCCGGCAAGTAACAGGTCGCACGTGTTTTTTTTTGAAGTAATATATAATCAAAAGTCCTCATAAAGACATCTTTTTAGATCGATGAAGCAAAGCATTTGTTATTTGTGATCTTTTTAACAGCAACAGATGAATCAACCTAATTTGTAAGCACTACTTTTAACTGAATTAGTAGTTGTTTTATTTCATATCAAATAGATTTTATGAAATCCTTTTTTCTATATGTTGCGCTGCAACGGGTATAAATGGTCTGATGGTTTTTATTATTATTATGGTAGTAGAGTAGACTTCCCTGGTGACACATTATTTTGGTCATGCTTGGTTATCGTACCTGATCTTATTGTTTTACTTATTCTATACACTTTACTATTTCACAATGGATGGATAAATTCTCAATATGATCAATACCGTGTTATTCTTGGAATATGTTTTTCTCTATGCATCATTCTGGCCTCATCCTGCAATATTTTGATGTTAAAGATTACAGGTAAGTTTTAGTCGCCTTTTAAATGATACTAGGGTAAATCCATGGAGACCCAACCACCATTTTGGAAAAGTTATTTTTTTCAGTTTTTTCTCCATCAAACGGCCCCCATGTGTTCCATTACGGTCAAACTGCGACGTAGTTACGCCGTAACTGCGATCGCACTGTGACCCGTAATTGCGAAAAACTGCGACACAGTTACGCGTAACTGCGATTTTTTCATCGTAACTATGCGTAACTGCGATGAAAAACTTGCAGCTACGCGTAACTGTGTTGCAGTTTTTAAATAGGAGGTAACATGTAAACTATCGATAAGCATTAATTGGACCAAAGAACTAACTAGACCTGAATCATTTTTTCTTTCACATTTATTGCATTTTAGATTAAAAAAATATATAACAAACACAATTTTAAAGAAAATAACTTTCTGCGAAACCATTAACAAAAAAATGAATACACAAATTATACACATGTTCAAATAAAAAAAATATATGCATACCCAGGTCGATCAACCTGAGGCGTAAGCGGCCGTATACCTATCATTCACGGTGAAAAACGGCGACCGTATTTTGTAGTCGTTTACTGTTGCCGTAAACGAAGTTATACTTAGGGGTGGCACTTTAACTTTACTTTAAAAAATAAAGTTAAAGTAATACTTTAAACTTTAAATGTTAAAGTTAAAGTAAAACACTTTAACACTTTAACTTTAATTAAAGTCTAAATTAAAGTCGATATATTGATAGAGTATTCGATGATCATTCTTGACTTTTGCCATAATCTCATCTTCGCATCTTCAAAAAATTATTTTAACCAAATACAACGAAATCGCATTGAATAAAGATGTAATTACATATTTTACAATATAGAATTTTAATGTAACAGGATTTACTTGTTGTTACGCGCCGTAAGACACTTGAGCTTTATATGGATCACGAATTATCAAATAAAAATAAAACTTTTTGATATTGATTCAACTATCGGAAAATCAAATTATGAGAGAACGCGTGATCAGTTATGGAATTTAAGCAAATACCTTTCACTATCAAGTATCCCCATGTGTACAGTGAAATTTTCAACAAAACACTATCAGAAATATTTTCAAGAAGCGTTTAGAGATTCAAATTTTCTGATTCACAAACGTGGAATCTAACATTAAGAAAAATCTTGTTTTAGCAAAGTAGTTTTTTCTTGGTGGAAAAATTTAAG